TGTGTGTACTAGTGTATTGTGTGTTGTGTGTACTAGTGTATTGTGTGTTGTGTGTACTAGTGTATTGTGTGTTGTGTGTACTAGTGTATTGTGTGTTGTGTGTACTAGTGTATTGTGTGTACTAGTGTACTGTGTGTTGTGTGTACTAGTGTATTGTGTGTTGTGTGTACTAGTGTATTGTGTGTTGTGTGTACTAGTGTATTGTGTGTACTAGTGTATTGTGTGTACTAGTGTATTGTGTGTACTAGTGTATTGTGTGTACTAGTGTATTGTGTGTACTAGTGTATTGTGTGTACTAGTGTATTGTGTGTACTAGTGTATTGTGTGTACTAGTGTGTGTGTGTTGTGTACTAGTGTGTTGTTTGTACTAGTGTGTTGTTTGTACTAGTGTGTTGTTTGTACTAGTGTATTGTGTGTTGTTGGGAATTTTCTTGCTGTACAAAGCACTTTTAACTCTTTGAGGTCGTGGGTTCGTTTCACGGCTGCGTCGCTGAGTTCACGTGTTGAACTCTTAAGAAGATCATTGAAGCTTCGAAGTTCGTGCTTTGTGCGATGTTCTCGGTAGGCGGCTAGCCGTTCTGTAGAGAGAGACAGAGAGAGAGAGAGATGAAGAGAGAGAGAGAGAGAGAAAGAGAGAGAGAGAGAGAGAGAGAGAGAGAGAGAGAGACCGAGCTATAGGCGATAAAACCCGGTGCAACGAAGTCGATCCCCTCCACTTTACCCTTAAGTTAGTTAGTCGACAGATTATCCTCATTGCGCGTCCAACCATTCAGTCCCTACGTGCTCGGATTCCCTCCTCAGTAAATCCACATTCTGCCACCAAACACAAACAATGATCCCAGGGACCTCAATGAAAAGTGCCTTGTTTAACCGCGTAATTTAAAAAATTAAAATCATGCACTGTATAGCAAATAAAAATCATGCATTGGTAAATACATGAAATGTTTGACAAGTAAACATGTGTTCATGGTTGAGGAGGTGAGTGGAAGGGGGGGGGGGAGGGGCCCTATTGCTATGATCCTTGAACATTTTTGGGACAGACAAAAAGGGGGGTAGGGGGGTAGGGTGGGGGGGGTCCTCAGCACCTTATTTAGGAGATAAGGGGGAGGGGTGAGGTTAAGATGCATGAGCCCCAAACGTCCACCGCCTACAATCATGAAGCTATGTGTCAAGTATCTCGCCAGACTAAACTGATATGTCACATCAACTGTAAGACCGATAACAATAATCCGGGTGTTTTTATATTCACAGGGACAAAAGATAACTATATATGGTTCATTGGCTAGGAGATAAAGGGTTGACTCACGTTTCAAACTCAGCAACTAATCGTGTGGGTCTAAAGATTCCATTTGTGGAAAGTGAAAAATAAAATAGACCCATTGACACGCATAGCAGAACATGTAAAATGTCACTAATTAGGAATTTGCTGAAATCGAATGTGTTGTTAGAACGGGCAAATATTGCAGGTAGCTATAAACCAGAACACATCGTGACAATCGCTCGTTTCATTTCGAAAACACATGAAGACGAAATAGGAAGGAAGATACAAAATAATAAGTATATCTAAGATTCTAGGTTACAGCCACATTGGTCAACTTTTCTGACCATACTTTTTCCGCACAGCGCCTGAAGGAGAGACTGTGGAGTTTTGTCCCACGCAGATGCACCCACCCGTGATGACCAAAGGCGACTACCTGGTTGCGGACAAGAACGGCACGTGTTATGAATGCATGTGTGCCCCAGATACCGGACTGGCCTGCTGCGAGTAAGTACTTTCTCTGTCTTTGTGCTCAACCTTAGGGGCCGCGTTAGCGCAGTCGATAGGAGACGTGCTTTTAAATCCAGCTGCGACTCGCTGAAGCCCTGGGAGAATGCATGGCGAATCACGGCTACGCCGTCTTCAAGGCTGAAATAAAAAAAGAATTATCACCAACTCCTAATGAGAACAATCAACAGAGGTACCACGGAATCGCTGTTACGTCAGAGGACCGAGCAGGCATGGGAATGCCCAATGTGCAATAACATCGATTGTAATAACATAGCAGAATATATGATTTCCGTGTGTGTATGTACGTGTGTATATCTGTGCCATTTCATATAGAATTATCTTTTGTTTTCTAAACTCCACAGATGTCAGAGACCGCGGAGAGGGAGATAACTCCAGGATGAACTACAAGACATAAAGCACAGTATTCTCTAAACAAATAACTGTAGAATGCAAAAAAAAATATTTTCTTTACAACTGTTTCTTTCAAGCTGCTACGTGTTCTGTACTTAACTATTTTATAAATTAAATGTAAAGAGAACTATCTATCTAATACCATAGCTCTGTCAGGTACAACCAGGTGATACTTAGACATAACCAAATTAGATTTCTTAGGAATCCCAAGATACGGTACTGAAGTTTTGCTTTAACCTGACGAGCGCGTCCTAATGCCGGTTACTAAAGGGATTGATGTTAAAGAAATGTACAGCTGTACCTCGGAACTCGAACATAATA